TTCTTGGTGTTGTTGGGAGACAAATTTCCCAAAAAAAAAAAATTAAAAAAAAAAAAAAAAAAAAAAAAAAAAAAAAAGTGAGCAAAGGGATGAGAAGAACAGAACGGGAATGGGGCTGAGGTCAAACAGGGCCACCATATGTGGACCTGGCTTCTTCCTCAACCATCCATGTGGCACAAGGTCCCTCCTCCCCAGCCCCACTTGGTACGTGTGGGACACGTTAGGTGCTATGGGGGTTACAGAGGTGAGTGGGGCCTAAAGGCCACCTTTTAGGAGCGACTTTCCTAGGGGAGAGGGCATACAGTAAAGAGTCTGCATGGAACAGGTCTGGAGATGGTGGAAGTCATCCTTGTGAATAAGAGCAGTGGATAAGTACCGGTCCAGAAAGGTGACACCGTGCAGTGGTACAAAGATCTAGGCCGTAACAGAGGCAGGCAGGATGTGTGGTGATATCTGTTCACTGTCTGGGGCTCCAAGCAAACCTTCAGAAACTCGAACTACTCATTGCTGAGGTGAGTGTAGGGCAGTTCTGGAAAGAGCACCATCCAAAGAGCTGAGCCAGGACAGCTAAAGTCTTTGAGTCAAAAATCCAGAAAAGTTAGATGTGGGATCAATTCCAAGAGATGAGTTTGGGGCCAAAATGAGAGACAAGATTGCAAGGAACAAAAAGCTGAATAAGTTGAGAACATTAAAGCAAAGACAAAAAAACTCAGTCATCTCAGACAACTGCCACAAACTAGCCTTTGGCCATGTGGTTTGTAAGATTTCAATTAAGGGCTCAGGGTGGAGACAGACACTTTCGAGCCCATCCATAAATCCACAGAAGACACCCCCCTCAAGCTCTTTTAAGGGAATGGGAGGGGTCATTCATGATAAGGACATAGCAGGTAAAATAGGGCTACCCAAGCCAAAGTCCAGCCAAACCTCATGGTTACCAGATTTGGAGAGCCACCAGCATCCAAAGCTTCTCTCTGTGTTCCAGAGAACTGACTCGTCTCCCATCTCTCTGTCTCTTGGTAGTCATCGATCTCTCTTCTCTACACCTCCTTACCAACTTTCTCTTGACCAGCATCTTCTATTTGCATAAGGTCCAACAGAACACGCCTACCACTCACCACCAATGGACTCAGCCCTTCTGTTACTGATTCCTAATTCCTGGGAGAGTGATCTAATTGTCAGCCCCTTGGATCAAGAGTCTACTGGGTCCAATGAGCTATAACCTTGGAGAGAAAGTGAAGGAATCATGCATTAGAAGTAGAGACACATGGGCATGCATTAGAAGTAGAGACACATGGGCCAGCGGGTGGCATGGTGTTTAAAGTGCTGGACTCCCACATGGCCAAACATGGTTCAAGCCCCAGACCTGGTGGCTTTCTTCCTCACTTTCTCTCTCTCTCTCTGATGAGCTCACATGTCCTATTGCAATTTAAAATAATAATATTAAAAATAAATTTTTAAAAAGTAGAGACACAGGGCAAGAGTGACTATGGGAGAAGTTGGCAGTGAAATCTGTGGTGGTGCTATAGAAACAGGAGCAGAACAACCATAATAACAAATGCCACAACAGTTACTAAGCAACAGAACCCCATTGTAAGTATTTCGCATACGGTAACTCATTTCATCCTTCCTTCAACTTATACGGTGTCTACTATTATTATCTCCACTTAGAAATGAGGAAAGTTAAGCTTAGAATAATTGACTTCCCAAAGTCACAAGGATAATGAGTTTTTAGACTTATCAGTATCAAAACTCCGCCTTGAGAAAGTCACTGAACTGCCCTGTGCTTCCATTTTTTTCTCTCCTGTAAATGAGGCTGTAATTGTACCTGTCTCATGAGGTTGCTGAAAGGATGCTCTGGGCCAATTGCCTAGTGTCCTAGTCTGCCCAGACTGGCATCCAAACACCACAGATTGCATGACTTCAACAACAGAATTTTAATTCCTCACAGTTCTTTAGGCTGAGAAGTCCAAGATCAAGGTGCTGGCTCTTTCTAGCTTGTAAATGGCCAGCTTCTCTCTGCATCCTCACGTGGCAGAGGGAAACAGATAGCTCTCTTTCTCTTATAATTACAGGACCATATTATGGCCCCACCTTTACAAGCTCTGATTAAATTACTTTCTAAAGACCTTATCTCCAGACATACTCACATTGGGGGTTAGGGCTTCAACATATGAATTTGTCAAGGACACAATTCATTTGGTAGCACCCAGCAATGATGAGCATTGTGTAGACATCAGTCATTATCACAAGGGTCTTTATTTTATTTTATTTTATTTTTTCTTTTTATTGGAGAGGTT